TGGGCATTGCATGACACGGGTGAACTTACCTACGTGCAGGCAATACATATAGACACATAAAATAAAAATAATAAAATATTTTTTTAAAAAAGAGGTGAGAATGTAGCTCAGTGATAGAGCCCTTGCTAGCATGTGAAAGGCCCTGGGTTCAATCCCCAGAACTACCAAAAAAAAGGGAGGGTTGAGACAATTTGTAAATATATAAAATATTAAAATGAAATATGCCCCTTTACTAGAAATTCCATATAGCCAATCAGTACTTACAGAATGCTTTTGTTGAGGTTGGCAGAACTGTTGGCCAATCCTTATTCACAACCCAACCATGATTTGACAAATGAAGCTGGAAACCAACCACCATTTCCCTAGTAAGTTTAATCAAAATCTTATAGGCTATGTATTGTTCAACTGCTTCTTACCCTCACATGAACTATATTGAATAAATTAAAACATCTTTTAGATTTCATATATGTTGAAATTTCACTTAACTCATCAATTATATAAGTTCTATGATGAATCAAATAATAATTTCCATAAAATATTTCCTATTTCCTAAAATTTGTTCTCTTCACAATGTTTAGCACTAACCCACTCACATTTTTTTTTTTTTTTCTGGAGACAGGTCTCTCTGTAGCCCCAGCTGGGTTGGAACTCTCTATAGACTAGACTGGCCTCAATCTCACAGAGATCTACCTGCCTCTGCCTCCCTAGTGCTGGGATTAAAGGTATGTACCACAACATCTGGTACTAGTTTAAAAACAGTTTTTTTTGTCTTTTTGAGACAGGGTCTCCCTATAGCCTCAGCTGGCCTGGATCTCACTATGTAGACCAGGCTGGCCTCGATCTTGCAGAGATCTGCCTGCCTCTGCCTTCTGAGCGCTGGGATTAAAGGCATGTGCCACCATGCCCAGCTTAAAATTTTTTAAAAATTGATTTATTGAGGTGGGGGTACACATGTGGTTATCAGACGACAACTTGTGGGAGTCCATTCTCTCCTTCTACCATGTGGGCCCTGGGGATTGAATCAAGCATGGCAACAAATACCTTTACCTGCCTGCTAAATCAGCTCCTTGGCTCAAGCCAACCTACTTTTAAATTTAATCTGCTTTTAAATATTCTTCTCTTATTGCTTTCTTAAGTCATTAAGCAAGGCCATATATCAAGACCAGACAGGGTGCTTGCTAATATACACTATGTAAGTACTCCTGCCCAATTTTAAGCTGCCAAGGATAGTGAATGTGGAACCCGTGGGACACAGAGGCACACAACTTCCTAACATTTCTATCATATAGACATAAAAGATATAACCTCAAGAGCATAAAATAGGAAAACACATTAAAATATGATGAATTTTAGCTGGGCCTGGTAGTTCACACCTGTAAGTCCAGTAGTCAAGCAAGCTGGGGCAGGAACCCTGCCCTGAGTTCAAGGCCAGCCTGAGCTACATAGTGAGAATCTGTCTCAAAAAAAATTCGAGGGCAAACTGGTCTACATAGCAAGTTCCAGGCCAGGTGGAGATACACAGTGAGACCCTAAAAAGTAAAAGTTTCAGTATTTATTAACCATGTTTCCAATATAATCTACTTAATTATAGGCCTAAATAATTTAATTTTTAATAATGTATCATCTATCTTTCTTTCTTTGGAGTTTGAATTCCTAAGTCTGGGTTTATGATAATCTTGTGGGTTTGGGGATTTTAAATTTTTAAATTACATTTATTCATTTATTTTATTTATTTATGTGTGTATATGGGGGGCAGGCACATGCTATGGCACACATGTGAAGGTGAGAAGACAACTTGTAGGAGTTGGTTCTCTCCTTCTACCATGTGCATTCCAAGGACTCAAACTCAGGTTGTCAGGCTTGGCATTAAGCACTTTACCTGCTGCACCATCTCTCCAGCCCGTGACAGTTTTTGTATTAGTGCTTTCTTCTTGGAACACTGTAGCCCCCAAATTACTACAAGGCACTAGTCATTTTAAGTTTGGGCACAAAAGTCATCGTGATATGATCTTTCCCAGCCATCTGTTTGGGACTTCATTCTTTTTTTCTTTTTTTTTAAGTTTTATTTATTTTTATTTTATGTGTGTGCATGTACTGCCTACGTGTAGGTAAGTGCACTGTGTTGTGCAATGCCCTTGGAGGTCAGAAGAAGCTGTTGGATCCCCTGAGACTGGAGCTACAGATAGTTGTTAGCTGCCATGTGGGTGCTGGGATTCAAACCTGGGTCTTCTGCAGGAACAACCAGTGTTCTTAACCACTGAGCCATCTCTCTAGCCCCTTGGGACTTCATTCTTACTTTTCCTGCCAGCCTTTATTTTGTCTTCCTCTCAAAGTTATCTGAACTCTCTGGTTCATTTGCTCTCTTACTACACACTTTCATGTCAACCTTTGATACAGGTTTTATTGGCCTACTGTCCCACTAACTTCAAAGTCAAGGAATGCCTGGCACACAGCAGACATGTAAAATGCTACTTATTCAGGGGCTAGAGAGATGGCTCTGCGGTTAAAAGCACTAGCCGCTCTTGCAGAAGACCAAGTTCAGTTCCCAGTGTCCACATGGTAGTTAACCATCATCCATAAATCCAGTTCCAGGATGCCCTCTTCTGACCTCTGTGGGCATTGAACAACATGGGTACACTTACATACATGCAGGGAATACACTCAGACACATAAAATAAAATAAAAATAATTTTAAAATGCTACTTATTCGCTGGGCATGGGGGCACATGCCTTTAATCCCAGCACTTGGAAGGCAGAGGCAGGCAGATCTCTGTGAGTTCATGGCTAGCCTGGTCTACATAGTGAGTTCCAGGACAGCTTGGGGCTACAGGGAGACCGTCTCAAAATGACCATAAAAAAAAATGCTACTTATTCAATTAGTATTTGTTGAATTAAATTTTCTGTTCCATGTTTAGGTTAGTTCCATGGATGGAAGGAGCTGAAATTCATTTCCATTTGAGGTCTATGAAGACACAATGGAACAGAAATGTTTTCTGGATCTCCCCTAGACCTGTGCTGAGTTACCTCAGTGTACCATTTGGTGTGGGGGGTGGCATTAAGAGGAGTGTGTGTGTGTGTGTGTGTGTGTGTGTGTGTGTGTGTAAGAGGAAGAGGCAATGGCAGGTCCCTTGCTTCCAATGTACAGTAGGTTTCATTACATTCAGACCATGGTCATTAGAAAAGGCATTCTTTTTACCTTCTTCCATACTGATTTTCTGTTCCCACTGAGATGAACATTCAATTTCTAAGCATTGGTGCCATTTACTTTTCAGAAGGCTCTGCAACATAGGCTCTAGTTAGTATCGGGTCTCCAGGGTCAGGGAACCTAAGTGATTTGTCCATTGGTCACCGCAGAGCCACCTACTTGTTTCCTTCTGTGCGAGGACAATTGTGTTTGTTTTGTTTTGTGGAATTACAGCAGACTGACTCTTTCTGTACAAGCCTTGACTTTGCTGGTAAAGGTAAGGATGGGCTGCTTTTGACTGACAGTTTCTGGAGTTGATTGCAGGAGCTTCATAGATCCAGAAAAGCTCCAGACCATGTCTCCTATGACTCCTACATGTGTGTTTTAAAATGTGTATAGATGTTGTTATTATTAAAATTACCAATTAACAAAAAATAATTGTTGTTTACCAAATCATAGCATGCCTAAAAATTTAACACTTAGCTCTGGCAGGCCTGTACAAGCCAGCTCCAGCAGACACCAATCTTGCCTTCCCTTTTAGTTTAATGGTACAAGACTTTGAGGCTCATCTCCCCCCTCACCTCCTTCAGGAAGCTCCCCTTAAAGCTTCTAGCTTTGGAGAGTTCCCCTTCCTGAATTCTTGGAAATCACTTGGTTTGCATCTATCACTTGACACTTGGCTTTGACAACATTGGCTGTGCTAGAAATCCAGTGGAGGAGATAGAGCAGAGGCTTCTCCATCATTGTTTCCACTCAGATCCTGTACCAATGTGGGATAGTCTTGGCAAAATACAACAGACATCTTTGGTAAATTACAGTGTAAGGAACTGGCAGGTCAACTCAAATCCCACTTCTCAATAAGAGCTTTGAAGTCAGACAGACTTGAGCTGAGCCTTGTCCCTCAACTATGTGACCTTGGACAGCCACTTCACAGTCTTGTGCCTCAGTTTCTTCCTCTGTTAAATCAGAATGATGGCCATATCAACTTTTGGGGGGCAACTGTGAGACTGAAATGAAATAAAACATGTGATGCATAAACAGGAAGTTACCCATGGTTTCAGTTACCCACAGTCTACCAGTCTGAAAATGCTAGATGGAAAGTTCCAGAAATATACAATTTATAAGTTTAAATTCTGTACCAGTCTGAGCATCATGATTACATTTCTTGCCATCCCACTCTGTTTCTCCTGGAACATAACCCATCCTGTGTCCAATGTATCCACACTGTATGTGCTGCCCGCCTGTGAGTCACTTAATAGCTGACTCGTTTATCAGCTCAACTGATGGCATCTCAATGTTTGTGTTGAAATAAGTGTCATTATTTTACTTAACAATGGCCCCCAAACACAGAAGTAGTGATTTTGGTGATGTAGATATGCCAAAGAGAAGCCATAAATTGAATTGCTTCCTTTAAGTTTCATTTCACTTCATCACAAGAAGAGGGTGGGTAATACAATACATTTTATTGTATAATTGCTCTATTTTATTATTACTTAATCCCTTACTGTGCTTAATCTATAACTCATATAAGGATGTATGTATAGAAATTTAGAGGCTAGGTACTACACAGTTTCAGACATTCTGGACTGCACCTCTAACCCACGCCAATAACAGAGGACTACTGTAAACCTCAGAAGCCCTTTGAGGCAAGCAGGCCAAAGCATGACAGAAGGATTCTTATAGCCAGGACATGGAAGGTCAGAAAAGGACATGAGCTACCAATGTCACAGAACAGGGCCCAAACCCTGCCTGCCTGGCCACAGGACTTTTAAGTGAGGCCTGTTCTTGCCAGCTTCACTCCCCCACAGACTCTCACCTTGCAGATAAATGTGACAAATGATGACTCCACAAAGTCTTTTGACACCAGCTGCCCATATGAGAACTTCTCTATCCTTCCCATGCTCACCAGATCCCAGAGTTTCTCATCAGACCAAGATTGGAACAGATCCAACTTCCTGAGGGGGAAAAAGCCTATTAGAACTCATCACCCTCAACTGATAACATACCCAGACACTAGTATTTTCCAGAAAGGGACCTTGCTCTTCAACTCTTGAAAATGCCTGGGGTGGAAGATCCCACCACTGCACAACCAGTCACCTTACCCAGTCTGTAGCCAATGTTGTGCATCCCCTTCTCAGAGCCCCCGCCTCCAGCAAGTGCCCCCCTCATTGCTGCTCAGCTAACCCTGGATACCTGGCACCTCACTTATCTCATTCTGCTCTCACACAGAAACCTTCTGACACCATCTCTCCCATACCCCACAACTTTGTGGCTCAGCAGGCTAGTCCCCTGCCAAGGGACACCAGCTCAGATAATTCCTCACTCCAACATACTGGCTACCCAGCCCCAAGGGGTCCTGGTCCTACTTTAGGGTCCAGGACCTTATTCGAGCCTCTGCCTGTCTCTGGTCTGCTAGCTTCAAGCACTCAGCTCTGAGCCTGGGGAAAGCCTGTGGAGGCCAGAAGAGGATGTCAGATACCCACAACTGCAGTTACAGATGGTTGTGAGCCATTGTGTGGGTGCTAGGAACTAAACCTAGGTCCTCTGCAAGAGCTGCAAGTGCTCTTAACTGTTGAGACATCTCTCCAGCCTAGATTCTTTCTTTTGCCTGTGGCTCTCTATGGTTAAAGGCTCACTCCAAAGTGGTCATCCCTTTTCCTGACCTCACACATCATCAGTCAGGAGCTGCCTTTTCCTGATAGATAAGTTCTATAGGACTATTAACTTTCCTCAGTTCTAAACGTTGTGGGCTTAAACTCAACTGACTCAGGTTGACTGAGTTAACTCAAGTTGACCCAGGCTTCAAACATGCTGAGTTTAGCTCAGGGCATCAAAGGGGAAGGATCCATGCTTTGACCACAAAGGGGGACCTGGATAGAAAGAAAGAGCAGGACCACCACAGAAGAGCACCTACCATGTGCAAGTCACTGGGCCACCCTTCCCTTGATCACATCATCCCATCCTTTAAAAAATTAAGAAAAATATTTCATTTGTTATGTAGTACTATTATTATTATTATTATTGCTCTTTTTGAGAGACGGTCTCCCTGTAGCCCCAGCTGACCTGACACTCGCTATGTAGACCAGACTGGCCTCGATTTCACAGAGATCCATCTGCCCAAGTGCTGGGACTAAACGCATGTGTCACCATGCCCAGCTGTTATTTTTATTTTATATATATATGAGTATATTGCCTGCATGTATGTAAGTGTACCTGTGTTGTGCAAAATCCATGGAGGTCAGAAGAGGGCATCGGATTCTCCTAGAACTGGATTTACGGGCAGTTGTTAGCAGCCATGTAGGTGCTGCAAACTGAACCTGGGTCTTCTACAAGAGCAACCAGTGCTCTTAACCACTGAACCATCTCTCTGGCCCCCATCCCATATTTTCAGCCATGGAGAGGTATCATTACACCATTTCATAGAGCAAGAGATTAAACACAAGAAATGAAGTTCCGCCGGGCGTGGTGGTGCACGCCTTTAATCCCAGCACTTTGAAGGCAGAGGCAGGCAGATCTTTGTGAGTTCGAGGCCAGCCTGGTCTACATAGCGAGTTCCAGGACAGCTGGGGCTACAAGGAGACCCTGTCTCAAAAAAGACAAAAAAAAAAAGTTTCATCAGAGTTGCATTAAACAGAATTTGAGGAGGCTGAGGATTTGGACTGGACCCCTGCCCTGGGCTCAGACCAAACCAATAGTCACAGTAATCACAGTAATGAGCTTTGGTTGGTAAAGGCCTGGTACAGTTAGCTGATTAAACTGTAAACAACTAGCTAAACTATAACAATTAACTCTGTTAATTAGGCTGTAGTTAATTAAGTTCTTTTTAATACCTTGTTTCCATAGTCCTATAAATGGTGTCTGATCATGTTGCTGGTTGGAGTTCTCAGAACTTGCTTAGGTTCTAGGAGCTTTCTGATTCTCAAAATGTTTTTACTTTGCTTTTCTCTATTCAAATAAATGCTACTAAATTTAATTAGTGGATGGAATTTTCCTTTTAATAAGCCTAAGAGCTGAGGTATAGCATCAGACCTATTTTTTACAATTTGAAAAAATAAATTACTCGTCCCTTCATACCAACCCCCTTTCCCAGGTCCCATTCCCTTCATGACGCTCTTTATCCAGTACACTTCTCTAAAGTCATGTAACCCTGCAACCTGCCTTTTCAGCACTACTGCAGTATTTCCTAGGGTTTGCAATCTTTTACAGAAAGACAGATAACTAAAGAATACTTAGGATTTAGTTTAGACATCTGTCTTACTTTGTTTCTCCATTGCTGTGACAAAACACTCTGACCAGTACCAACTTGGGGAGGAAAGGGTTTATTCAGCTTACATCTCCCAGATGAGTTCATCAGGGAGCCCAAGGTAGGAACTCAGGGCAGGAACCTGGAGTCAGGAGCTAGAGCACAGGCCATGGAGGAACACTGCTTACTGGCTTGTTCCCTTGGCCCCTGCTCAGCCTGCTTTCTTATGCAACACAGGCCCACCTGCCCAGGGGTGGCACCACTCACAGTGGGCTGGGCCCTCCCACATCACTCAACAATCAAGAAGATGCCTCATGGACATGGCCACAGGCCAAAAGCCCAATGAAGGCAATTCCCCAATTGAGGCTCCCTCGACCCAGGTGTGTCAAGTTGACACTGAAGTACAACATCCTTGTGGGGCCTCTTAGGAAGGTACTTAAAACAAAAATCTCTTCTACATGAGTTTTGCTTATTGATTGCTGTAGATGGTGGTGTCCACAGATAACAGGCTTTCTTTCTGATATATGGATGCAATAACTTACTTCCTGTTATTCATTCAATTTTTATTTATTTACTGTGTGTATTCTCTCTCTCTCCTCTCTCTCCTCTCTCTCTCTCTCTCTCTCTCTCTCTCTCTCTCTCTCTCTCTCTCTCTCTCTCTCTCTCTCTTATCTCATGTATCCCAGGTTGGCCTCAGATCCAATGTATAGCTGAGGATGGTCTGGAACTTCTACTCCTCCTGCCTCCACCTCCCAAGTGCTGGGATTACAGGTCCACATCCAGTATATTTGGTACCAGGGATTAAACCCAGGGCTTCTCAGCATGCTAGGTAAGCACTCCACTACCTGAGTCACATTCCCAGTTCCATTTGGGAGCAGGGGTTTGAGACAAGGGGTTAACTCTGTAGCCCAAGTTGGCCTAAAACTCACTATGTAGCCTAGGCTAGCCTCAAAGTTATGGCGACCCTGCTGCCTCAGTCTCCTGAGTGATGGGCTTACAGGCAGGCGCCACCACATTCAGCTTCATTTATTCAATATTTGATGAGCATCATGTGTGCTTGGCACCATAACAAGGCAAGATTACAGGAGGATTACAGTGGTGAAAGGGGAAAATCTGGTCCTGGTTAGCACACTGCTGTTGAATATGGCATGCAAATTACAAAGAAATCCCTACGCAATGGATAGTCACAGTGTGGGCAGGGGCTTTAAAGGAACATAGGGTACAACAGAATCACAGATGGGGTCCCTTGTCTATTCTGGAGTGAGGACAGATAGAGATAGGATAAGTAGGGTGCTGGAATTAAAGGCATGCACCACCACACCCAGCTCTATGTCAGTTACTTTTGTTCTTACTATTCCACAAGGAAAGAATATTTGAGCTGAGATCCAAAGACATGCTAGGGCTTTAGCTAGGTAGAGAAGTTGGATAGGTGGAATTTCAGAATATTCCAGACCAAGAGAGCGGCAAATTAGTATGTTACCTACCAGATCAAGGGCAAAGTCAGGGGCCAAAGAACATGGAAGAGAAAAAGTTGTAGAGTGAAATGGCATTACCTAAAAAAATCAAACCGATAACGTGTTTCCTTCTGAACTTCCTCGTCCAGCTTACTGGCCATGAAATCTTCCCGGTCAACAACTAGGAACTCCGTTTCCTCCATGCAGACCACCGTGGCCCTCCTTAGTGCGGTACTCAGAAGGCCCATTTCCTGTGGGGTGAACAGAGACCAGGGCAAGTGTGAGGCCATATCCAGCTTCCTGCTCACAGCCCTGCATACATCTTCCCTGCCTGTCTTACTCTGGAAATCACTCCCTGGCCCCCTGAATAGGCCAGAGAAGAGGAAACTGTAGATGCTTCTCTATGGAGTCTATGAAGGGTTAAACAGGGAATGTACTCCTTAAGCATCAGGTAAGAAGGTCAGCTTTGGGCATTACCTGATTCAGCTCATTCACATTTGACAGGTAAAGACCCACATGGACCAATGGCTTGCACAGAGAATAAGGCAGATGGGGGCCTGGATAAGAGACTTGAACAGGAGTTCTGTCATACCCCAACCCTAGCCCAGGAATTAAGGTCCTTCCCCTGGGCTTACCCCAAAACAGCTACCCTTATGCAGCAATGTTGGGTGGGGATCCAGGAAGGCACTGCTTCCATCCTCATCCTCAGTCACTGCGACTCTGCCCAGATAGATGAAGTAAAAGCTGTTGCCCCTCTGCCCCTTTTTGATGATCACTCGCCTGCGACCAAACCTGGAAAAGACCATGGCCCAGTGACCAAATAGGAGGAGCTCTGGACTGGTGTGCTCTGGGAAGGAAAGCACCAAGTGGAGCAGAAGAGCCTTCAGAACAGGCCATGCCCCAGCCATCAGGCTGGACCTTTCACACCTATCCAGTTGCCTGCCTCAGTAACACCGAAGTGTCCTGGAAGCAGAGCCTTCTTCAGTTTGGCTCAGGCATCTGGAAATGAATGGCTGACAGCAATTGCACAACAGACTGAAGAGATATCCAAAATAATGAATGTGTCTGTAAAGCATTATAAGCGCTGGTTTTAGAGTCAGACCAGAACCCAGATCCTGGTTCTACCCTTGGCTGTGTGACACCAGGGAGGGTCAGATCCTCTTTGAGTTTCTCTTGTTTATAACCTACAGATGAACATATATAGAAAAAGACAGATAAAGGAGCCAGCAAGATGGCTCAGAAGGTAAAGGCACTTGCTGGCAAGCCTCATGACCTGAGTTCCATGACTGGGACCCAAATGGTGGAAGGAGAGAACTGACTCAAATTGTTCTCTACACACATGCCACAGCATGTCCTGTGCCCCAAAAAATAATGTAAGGGGAGGAGGAGAGGGAGGGAGGGGATGGAGGCAGGGTGAAGAAAGAGATGGATGGATGGACAGACAGGCAGACGGATGGACAGATAAACACTGGTACCATCATCTTCAGGAGTTCATCTTCAGGAGTTCACCATCCAACTCAGGGCCCAGGCACCCAGGCCCAGTACAAATTAGGATTTAGTAAAAGTTCTTAGACTCAGACCCCACTGATGATTCAGGCAAAATTAATCTGAGGGAAGGAACAAAGGAAGGAAGGAAGGAAGGAAGGAAGGAAGGAAGGAAGGGAGGGAGGGAGGGAGGGAGGGAGGGAGGCAGGGAGGGAGGGAAGGAAGGACTAACTTCAAGACTCTGAACTGAAAGACGCTCCTTTCCCATTGGAGTTATCCCATTGGCATTAGACTGGAGATGGAAGTCAGGAATTTTGACCATGATAACCATCTCAACACTATGCAGCCATAAGGTAACTAAGAAGACTTATACCAAGGAAAAGTCAACAGAGGGAGGCTGGGTGTGGTAGCACAGGCCAGTAATCCCAGCTACAGAGAGGCTAAAACAAGAAGATCACAAGTTCAGGGGAAGCCTGGGCTACAGAGTAAATTCAAGACCAGTCTGGGCAACTTAGTGAGACACTGTCTCAAGATAAAACATATATATGAAAAAGGGCTGGGGATGTTGCTCAAAGGTAGACTGCATGCATGTGAAGCCTTGAGTTCAATCCCCAGTACTGTGAGGGAAAAGAAAAGATAGGGAGACACAAGACCCTATCTTGTCAAGATACATGGGGTCCTGCTGGTACTGAGCGTCTGAATCCAGTTGAGCTTGAAGATGAAAAATGATCTCGGGACTTTTCAGATGAGCCTCAAGATATTCCCTTGGGACGGCTTTTCTTTATACTTCTTAAGTAGCAGTCTGCTAAGATGCTAATTCCAAGTCCAAGGAATAACTAACAACTAGCAGAGGGCTTTAATGATCATCACTTTGCTTAATCTTTCTTAAAATATCATTATCCTATTACTATTACTATTTCAGGAGGATTCTTGGGGACACACTGCACTGACTGTTTCAAATGTCATGATTTTCTTTTTTTCCCCTTGACACCATCTGCCTTTCTTTTCTACTTTTTTCTTTCTTTCCTTCTTTCCTTGTTTTCTCTCTCCTCTCTCATCCCTCTCTCTTTTTTCTTTTGTTCTAGAATCTTTACAGAGAGTGGTGATGACCCATCCACTCTTCTTCCAGACTATTAACAAAGCAGATAGTTCTCTCTACCTGGAATGCCCTGGTTTATACCTACGTTTCTCAAATCCACCTGTTCTTTAAAAACATTTTTTATTATTACATGTTTATTTGTATTGGGGGAGCATGCAATTGTGCACGTGTGGAGACCAGAGGACAACACACACAAAGTTGGTTCTTCTTTTACCATGTGGGTCCCAAGGATCGAACTCAGGACATCAGGCTTGGAGGCAAGCACTGAGAGACCTGAGTGACTCCATCTTGGATAAATCTTCCATAGGACTGACCCAGCCCTGGGCCCTTTTCCAAGAAAACGATACTTGGAATGGATAGAGAACAACTCCCCCGCCAATGGTCAATTAACCAGGGACAGGAAGGTACTAAAAGTCCAGATGTCTTTTCAGATTTCCTGAAGCTAGCAGTTTATGGTTTGGCACTGGGCTGCAACCAATCAGATGCTTGCCAAACTGAAGACCCCCTACTCCCGTACTTGCTGAACTTGCTGAAATAAACCTATAAAAACCTCTGTCTCCCAAAGCAAGGGGTCTCACATCTGAGATCCGCTGAATCGATGACAGAGTGGACCCAAGCTTAAGCTTGTAACAATAAAAGAACCCTTGTGTGTTTGCATCAGTCTGCTCCTTGGTGGTCTTTGGGGGTCTCATGAACTGGGCACAACAGCACCTTTACTCACTGAGCCTTCTCACTGGTTCCCACCTATTCTAATATAACCTTTTCTATAAGCCTCATGACCCAGCCAGCTTGCCTCAGACACATCCTGTCCTGGTCATAAAGGATCATGTACTACATAGTTGTACTAGGGAGCCCCATGAAGGAGGACATCAAAGTACAAACCCAAAGTGATCTTATACCCTGAGTTTTCAAAACAGATCTAACCTCAATCATCTAGATGCCCTTAAGCTTGAAGCTACTGAGATGATTTCTCAGGTAGTATCCCCATATGACTACCTAGACTTCTGAAGTACAAGGTCTTTACTTGGCACTTTGTGCCATAGTCCCTTTGACAGTCTGGTAAAGCCTTCATAGACTCATGTTTTAAATACATAAAATAAAATCCAGCAGAATAACAGTTAATAAATGCCTTTTAAAAATCTACATGTAATGCCGGGTATGGTGGCACATGCCTTTAATCCCAGCACTCGGGAGGCAGAGGCAGGCGGATCTCTGTGAGTTCAAGGCCAGCTTGGTCTACATAGTGAGTTCCAGACCAGCTGGGGCTACAGGGAGACCCTGTCTCAAAAAGACCAAAAAAAAAAAAAAATTCTACATGTGGGGGACAGGTGAAATGGCTCAGGGGTCAGGGGCCCTCCCACCAAGCCTGACGACCTGAGTGTGATATCACAACACTTATGGAAGAAGAGGAAACCTGACTTCTGTGAGTTGTCCTCCCAACTGCTGGGATTATAGGCATATGCCACCACATATGGCATCAGTCTCTCTTCTTAGAAAGTTCTCAGTATTCAATCATGAGGATCCACCTGATAACTCTCTAATTCCGCCCCCCCACACCATACACATAGGAGGATCTCTGTGAATTCAGGGCCAAGCTGGTCTATGTAGCAAGTTCCAGGCTAGGCCAGTCAGGGCTACATACTGAGACCCTGGAAAAAAGGAAAGAAGGAAGGAAGGAAGGAAGGAAGGAAGAAGGGAGGGAGGGAGGGAAGGAAGGACGCATTTGGCCTGTAAAAGCAGGGCCCCATCAAGTCAAGCATGGATGGAAGAGGGGTTCTGGGGCCCCACCCGTAATCCTAAGTGACAAGCAGGGAGGGAGGGAGGAAAAGGAACAATATAAATATTCTCTCTGACTCTCACCAGATGTGGCTCTTTGACCTTGGACTGGACCATAAGCCAAAGCCTTTTTTCTTTATAACTCACCCACTTGTAGTATTAGCAACAGAAAATGGACTAAGACGCTGCGTGACTAGGATGAGTCTTCTCCTTCTTTGACCCTGCTTACTGCATCTGAAACATAAGTGAACTGGACTAGATCCTTTCAGGAGTTCCTTCCAGATCTGTGGGGACCTAAAGGCCCCACATTGCAGAGGTCCAAGAGGAAGTTACTGGGGTGCAGCCTGACTTATTTTAAAAGTCTGAAGGATACTTCCGCACTGCTGAGGAGTGCATGATCAGCATGTGACCATCCTTAAGATACACCCTGGGGGGGGTGGATTTCCAGGTGCCTTTATAAGCTCTGTAACACCTGCAATAAATGAGTCCCTGCTTGACTAGGCTCCCCGTTGCGCCTGAGTGTTCCCGATACTGGGGGTGGCGTGGGCTGGCAAACGGTGCGCTTAATCATCTCCAATCATCACTGCGTGGTGGTCACTGGTTCAAACCCCCGGCAACTGGCGCCCAGCATGGTGCTCGAAAGAAGGTGGAAAGAAGAAAAGAAAGAAAGAAAAATAACGGATTGGGGCCAATCAAGAAGTTCGGGGTGAGACCCGAAAGATGGGTAAAGCAATTAATAAGCCCGAGGACCTGGTGCTTAAAGTGTTGAGAGATATGCTTAAAAGCAGGGGATTGGATCTGTCAGATCCAGTAGCTCAAAAGGTTTGGGCAGAGGCTGTTCATTTGGCTCCCTGGCTACTTGGGGCTAATGTTTTTACTGGGGATACATGGGAACATGTGGAACATCTAGCTCGACAAAGGGAGGTTCAATTGAGGATTGATCTGCTACTGGGGTTCTACCTTACTATCTCGGCCTTAAAGGCACACTTTCGGCCTTAGACCCCCAAG